TATCGAAAGCTTTCGCGAAATCTAAATAGACGATGTCCACAGGATTCCCTTAATCCCTCTCTACCGTCGCCCAGTCGTAGAATTCGCAGAAATCAGAACCACAACATCTCCGATACAACTGGGAAACTATAGCAAAATAATTCAGTCGCCTGAGAGGACGTCGAACGAGCAGTCGATACATTTAGCCTAAGCGTTCGTGTCAAGTTGGACATTCCTGAATCGTTCGAGCTTCGTTATTTTCCCCTAGTCATTGGTCCTTGCTAAATTTGCTGTTCGATAGCCATTTGCGGGTCGAATCAAAGACTGACGAATCAAAGCACTTATACTGTCAACTTGGAAAAAGTTCAACCCATAAACACCTTGGTAACGAAATCAAGAGACGAAGCAATAGAATTTCAAAAGAGGCATACATATTCAAGGTAGCTTCAAGGTCGATGACCACGAGCCCATATTGCGAAGAATTATAATCGTCACACGTTTCCCAACTATCTTACCAACCTCAGATATTCCGTAGAGATCCATGCTACTTTAGAAAACCTCTTGATAGAATTTCACCGTACATCAAAGTTCAAGATCCTTGAACAGGGTGCTTTGATTAAATGCTATATAGTGAAGTGCCTTCAAATTTGAGGCAAAAAACGCTACACTCATGGACTTATCGTGATTTTTTTTCCCCGCATTCATAGCGCAATTGATGAAATGTTCGTTTAATCGATAGAGACGAGTCTCCGGATTGCAGGGATTCATTTAGTTTTTTTATTCGCCATCTCCATAAGGGTTCCCATGGAATGCCCCGACAAAGTGGAACATTTTTGATAGGGTCACCGCCTCCACCTTCATTTAATGGGCTTTTATGCCTCTTTGGGTGCTTATGGGGAAAATGACGACAATGACGTCAGAAATGAGTCTACGCCTGAAACATCATGATTTCTGGAAATAACCCGTGGAGAACATTCACAGGCTGCCCAGATGGTTTCCATGTCGTGCGATATTTTAAGACTAGGATAAACGGCACCAGCTGCTGCACCCGTCTCAGCATGACAACGCTTGCCCAAGCAGAAAGGAAGTACAGGGTCGTGCAAAAGTTCCCGTACACTTTGATTAGCGCTTCGATTCTCTTTAGGCGTCATAGCTCCAGAGAAAAAAATTTATATAGACTGAAATTTACTATAATGAAAACATTTCGTACCAGAAATGTCCGTAGAATTAAAAAAAAATACACTTCAGAATCGCCAAAAATCCGTTGATTATTGAAAAACTTAGATTTTTAAAGTGTACGGGAACTTTTGCACAACCCTGTATACAACATAGGCAATATCCAGATTGTGGTCAGACAGTTCAGCATCGCCCCAACTCCCATATTACTGTCCCCAACAGTTATGGGTTATTTGCCGGCTTTAAGGTGCCTTTGTGCGACGGCACTCTAGCACCAGAGAACTTCTACAGGAAGATGTTCAGTGTGGGTGCCGACCAAAACAAAACAGTGTTTTGGAAATTGCCACCAGCCAAATCGCCAAACTCCCACATCGTTGGAAAATGAGCATTGACATGTGGGGGGAGGGGGGGATGCTGAGAAATGTACGTGAAATGTACGTGCATGCAGGCTTTAAAGATAACGACTAAATTGTTTCATTTGGAAATCCATTAATGTGTTGAATATTGATCTTTTATTGCTTAATGCAAGCATATAATGGAAATAGCGATGCTTATAAGTCAAATGGGAGATATGCATTGATCTGGTTTCTTAACCAAGATTCCCATCGCTGTAATTTCGGTAATACCTTTCTTTCAGGAATTTGCAGAATCCAAAATTTAAAAAAATACACAGGCATGAAAAGTAAAAGTAACAACACGATTAGTATATCAATGGAAAGCGCTTTGAGAGAGCTTTTAATTGACACTAGTTACAAGTTTATATATTGTTTAAAACAGGAAGTACGAACCGCCACATTGGTGAAAATAGGCAATTTTGGACTTTTCGAATTTAATTTTAAGTTGTTTCAAAATACTTAGGAAGTTGAAATTTATATCATAAATTGCCATTGCTTTAGTCTACAATGTTGCGAAAGATCGTCGTGTTACAATGCATCTTAATGCTAATAATTTGCGTGCAAAATTCTGCAATATTTACCATTTTGAAATTGCATAACTCGATATCTTTTAAACGCTGCAGAAAATGCATTTAATGATGCAATTCTACGTGGTCTCAGCTTTACTTAGAGTCCAAAAACGCGTCTCTAGCTCGAATAGGACCAAAGATAGCGCTTTAAACCTAAAGGCCCCTTTTCCTCTAGGGGGCGAAGTTTGGGGCCGCATATCTCGAGATCCGTAAGAACCAGAGAGCCAACATTTTGGATTTTTTCATAAGTCTTGATTGTCAGCTTGCAATAATTTTTTGCAGGCAAATCGGAGTCTGAAGCCCAACGAATGTGACTAAAATTTGACCACTTGAGCTGGAACGCCTCCCCTCCTTAACTTTCGTTCGAGCGAGTACAGTCCCAACACTTCTAAACGTCGAGCACGATTGTTAAACGTATTTGTTTATAATTCTCAGTTAGAGGGATATGTCCCAAAGAGAATGACGTGAATTAAAGGTTTCTGCAACCAGGAGCTAGAGAGATTCATTTTCAAAAGGAGACATGTAAACCGTGAGCTCAGACCTCAAATAAAGCCCCCAGGCTTGATCTATGGGAGCCAGAAATCGATTCCAAGGTCCTTTATTGAAGTCTCTCACAACAAATACAGGCTAAATTTTCTTTTCTTTTTCCTCTTCCCGTTTTACAGTAAATGCTATCAATAAACTTCACAGAAATTATAGCAAACATGGGATATGGGGAATTTGGGGAACACAAGAGGTTAAACTGCCTGATGAAAATGAAATAGTATTCCAACAGATTTCATTCCCCTGGGCTTTCAATATCTTTATGGTGCAGGGTGAAAATCGGTATATTGTTACTGTTTTTTTTCATGAGAAAATTTCAGATAGGTACCACGAGTCATCTTTTAGAAGACATTTGCGCAGCATCATGAAGACGAATATGATGTATTTTTAAAAGAAATAAATTGTACATGGTGGTTTGTCATAATTCGTTTTCTTCTTCACTCTATATTCAATATTAAAGCAATGTTTTTTTTATTTTTTAGGAAGAAAATGCCGCTCACATCCTTGAACTTGCGTTATCACTGATTTATGACTTGAAGGTGAGTCGTATAATTTCCCGTTCTTCGTAATGCACAAAAGGAAGTCATATGCGCATCCAAACTCATTCATATATACCAGACGTCATCCGCCCTGGAAAGGAATATTGCACGACATGTTGCTTAGAAAATCGTGTTGTATTTCCACTTGTTTATCTTCGATGTCATCGCATAGGCATCATATTTGTTTATAATATCATGACGTGGAATTAATTCAATTGAAGGCTACAAAGAGAGACAGATTTATCGGAGAAAATTTTTTTTTTTTTTTAATTCCAGACCGAATACGAGAATATTCAGAGCCTCCCAAAAGAAGGAAGGAAGTTCATGGAGTATACAAAGTACACTGAGAATTGCCATTTTTTCTCTCATATAGTCTCTGAAAACTATCTTTCCCAATGAAAGGAAAGAGCTCAATGAACGCGTTATATAAACAGGTGTCCATGTATTATTCAACGGGTTTCAATATATTCCATCTTGAAAACTACTCAAGATAAATTGATCGTGTGTGCAGAAATGGTAGCTTAATATTATACGTTTTCTTTTATGTGTTTTATGCACGAGTGAGTGAGATAGAGGAGAATAGAGCAATTGAGATTGGATTAATTTATTGTATCAGTTGATTAAGTAATGACTACCATCTGCTATACAGGAGGGTCAAAAAAGTTAAGCAATTGAGTTCACAATGCTGCAAATCAGACTTCAGGGTCACGGCTTCAGTATGGTCTTAGGTACAGATGGATAAATAACAACAAATCAGAACCCATTTTATTTCAAATGTCAATGTTTTAAGATGTGCATCTTTCTACTCCCATTGTTTTTTATTACTGAAAGAAATCATTGCCTATCTACTAGTATGAATATTGGAGATCAAGACCTTGCAGAATAATAATGAATTACTTTTCTGGCAAGCCAAACTTTCAGGTCTATCCTCTTGATTCAGCATGCGGAATTTTACTTCTTCATTATCCTTTACATTTATGTGAGTTCTGGGCCTTTCACTACCTTGTTTATGAGCTGCTGATCCTGTTTCATCAGATTTCTAAATGATACCTTCAAGACCACATATTGGTCAGTTTCTTTTACCAGAAAACTCATTTATCTGTATTCTGCTCCTCGTCCCTTTCAAACTCACGACGTCTTGATCACCACCAAGTCTTTATATGAGTAGCTATGTATTCCTTTGTTTTTAATAAAAATAAAACTATCTAAGGAAAAGACACATCTTAAAACATTGATACAGAAAGTAAAATGCGTTTTCATTTAACAACTGTTGCTGTTCCAACTCGAACCGCAGCCAGGACCGTTGCAACAGTTTTCTTTATAAAGGCGGCCATTTTCATCCTGATGAAATACAAACAAATCGTTACATATTAACATGTTTTGTTTTACCTCTTGCAGAATAATTGCTGCATTTGTGTCGAAAAGCATCCGAAAATCAAGGCATTGCAGTATGAGTGGCTCACGCTAATCCTAACCATGTTCTAGATATGGTAGAAACCTGAAAACTAGTACAGAAATAGCCACTGATGCTTTGTTCAGAAAAAGTCAGACTTTTGCACTGAGGACCAAAGACGAGAAGACGCTTTGTAAAAAAAAATGCTAAACATCTGCAATACGAGGAAATGTAAAAAGTCTAAACTTTGAATAAAGGTACTAGTTGAGATGCTGCTTTTGGGATGTCCTTAATTTTATATTCATCCCTTATGGTGAATTTTTCTTGTAATACTTCCCTACTGTACTTTTTTCTTTCATAGAATCGGGCAAATTTAGACAATTTAATACTTTCCATAAAAGTAGTTGTTGCAATAATAAAATGTCAGGGAATGAAATCATCGGGATGAAAAGCATCGACCTCTAAAAGAGAAATCTCTCTTGTGGTGATCCTCGAGGCAGGTGATGAACCTGGAATCGTTGCTCAATGCCACTTGATTCCAAACTGCCAACAGCCATGTCGTGAACTCTTTGTTGCATTTAAATCGCTTCTTATTCAGGTTTCACGGTAATAGTGGCTGTACTTTTGCCTTGTAAGATGAGCAGCCCATATCCATCAGGCCGCGGCTACATATGTTGGCCGGGACGTCTTAATTTTTTCTGACAGGTCTTTCGGGAACGTCCAGATTTTCTGTGTCCACTTGCCAGTTTGTTTTGAATGAAAAAATATTGTTATGTACATTTGCTCAAAGCCAACTGTATGGCGATGGTACGCTTAGGTTAGCTAAGATAAATCCATCCATTAGCATGTCAAGTCAAAAAGGAGACATGGAACTCCTCTGGAATTGGCTCTGGAGTGGAATTCAACAGGTGGAAGTTGAATGAGATCTTGTCACCGCTGCCTGAAGATGGGCTGCTTATCCTACAATGCAAAAGTACAGCCACTACTTACGTCCAACCTAGAGGAGAAGCGATTCGAATTTCAAGTATGGCAAGAGAAAGCGACAACCGGGAACCAAAGAGGGATCACGAACAATACAGCTGGATTTTTGGAGCGCCATCACTTCAAATCAATGTGCCCATCTCGTTTCCAGTATGCCTGATCGATTGGAGACCCTAGAAACGTGAAGACGTGAAGTCACGAAGTACTAGTGCCGATACCCGAACCATTTTGGAACATGTGACGTTATTTTTAGCGTTAATAATTTTTCATCTGTATGTAATATCGCGAATTACGCTGGTCTGCAGTTAACCCACATATCGAAGTTGTTGACAATATTGAAAATCCTTGATTACTACTGTGCAGTTATTCGTGAAATGGAAAATCAAAAAGAGGTGGGAGAGAAAATCAGTCTGCCTGAATTATTTTGGAAGTGGGTGGCCAAAACTGAAAATAACAATGTTCTGCTTGTTTTATGGAGACGGAAATTGTAAAGCCTCGTTTCCAAAAGGGAAGAATTGGCATAAACGGAGGAGGAGCCTGCGCAAGGACAAGAAAAATACTAACTTATCTTAAACATGGTGGTTGAGGAGGGGGGAGGGTTGAGAGATTGAGGGCGTCTAGTTCCCCCGATTGGAGGGATGCTTCCCTAGTGTAGGATTCCGGACAGGGTTCGTTAAGACAATAACTCAGTCCAGTCTGGAAAACAATGTTGTATTCCTAAGATCGGTGTACCTTTTTTGATATGTCTGGTTCTTATAGAACAATAAGCATGTGGGGGTGGCTTAACGAACCATGCCCTGCTCTGTTGTCATATTTTAGGATGCCTCCTTTGCAAAAGCACTACAACAGATGCAACTGGCCCTCACTCAAGGATCTCTGCGGCAAGCTTAAAATGTCAAAATGAATAACAAGTGTACTGATTAAGTTCCTTTTAGACAGGAAATACAGGGTGGCCCATAAGTAATGTGTCACTTTTGTATTAATAATACAGATATCTATGAAACAGTGATACATATATACATATAACAACGTGTAACAGAATGATAAAGGACATGTCTATGCACAGTTCTCCAAGGTATGGTCGACCTGTTGGCCATCAAGGTCAATGCAGGCCTGTAGGCGGAGAGATACATTTTTGCAGGCCTCACAACAGAACACTGTGCTGGACCCAGTGAAATGGCCCGCATGCTCCCCTGATTTGATGCCCCCTGACTTTTTCTTGTGGGGCTATCTGAAAGATAATGTATACGCCCATCCCCTGCACAACGTTGCGGAACTTCGGGATGTCATTACTGAGGAATTTAATGCCATTCCTCCAGCATTCTGTCGTGAGAAAGATAAAGTGTACGCACATTCCCTGCACAACGTTGCGGAACTTCGGGATGCCATATGACACCTTAAATTACGGTAAGGAGGTCGCAAGACAGCACTCCGGACGTTTTTACATAGAGAGGCGGATGTCCGGACGTAACTGGAACTACCGGGTGTCCAGCTGGTATGGAACCTCTTGGCACGTTAGACATGTCCTTTATGATTCTGTTACACGTTATCATATGTATATATGTATCACTGTTTCATAGATATCTGTATTACAAAAGTGGCACAATACTTATGGGCCACCCTGTAGATTCATCCCTTTCAAGAAGGTTTCTTGAGCAGGCCTGATAGATCAATATAACGGAAAAGAACACTAGTATCACATAACGTTTAAACAGCATTTATTCAACGCTGATTCAACATCCGGATGCTGAATCAACATTGAATCAATGTGGATTCGATGTAATGTGCTACTAGGAATTGAAGGAGGAATTTTAATCCTTATTCCGGTTGTTTACACATATCGCAAACATACGTTTTAGAATGAGTTTTGAAGATGCCAATTCCTAGGAAACTTTCTTTACAAGTCACTTTTCAAATTGAAGTTTTAGAGGGAACATTGTGATTTAGACGACATAAAATATAACTGCGTGCATGGACTCAACCCGAGGCAAACTCTTTCCAAGGTTTGGAAAGTTGGATTGGCCGTTGATGACTGAAACATTTTTGCCCATTGGCATACATGAGCCTATGCCGTTTAGACGTAATCCCATTGGTTTGAGTGAAATGCCCAAACTACTCGGATACAAAATTTGGTTAGTCGGAATAGTGACAATAGGTATTTTTTTATTTTAAATAAACCCTCTTAACTATTTATGAATAGTGCCGAAATATGTGTAAAACTGAATCAGTTATACGGAAAAATGAACTTGGTTCTAGGAATTCACTAAGTTGAGAATCAATTCTTGTTGGTGGCGACAAATAAGTATTTTCCTGATTCCGCCAAATTATTCAACTTTGGCAAACATCAGTGTAACAAAATTTATCGCAACTCGATTTGTAATACCTTCTTGCGGTATCTCAGCAAGGTACATCCTCATTGGGACCATTTCCATGCCTGCATGGATGGTTACAGGGAATGTTATGTTTTTCGAAAATAAGTATACCTTTAGGAAAGGGAAAATTATAATTTACCCACTCTGCTACTTTGAAGGCCCCTTTCGACATTTTCTAGAATTTTTTCTTTCTCTCTAATATTGGTATCGTGTTTTTGCAAAAATGTTTGACAAAAGGAGGACTTTGAGGAGAGGGAGCGCTTGGAGAAGAAAATTCAGTGCATCCAACCGCAAATAGTAACAGGTGAGATAATGTTATGCCCGGAAACGTTTACAACGCTACTACTTGAAACTAAAGTTTATACTTCACCAACGCAAGTGTCTAATACAATAATGCTCACTTCAAAACTCATTTTTGTGTCTGCGGTTGTTGTGGCATGCATATGGAATGACCCAAAAAAGGAAATATCGTGCATTGGATGAATTAAGCTCTTTGTTAAAGCTGATTCCTGTGAAAAACTTGCTTCAGTGGTGCAACTGTCGACTTCCTCGCTCGCTAAATATGTATTGAATAGAAAGTTATTGAAAAGACACGCAGGAGAAACTTACAGGCAGCACAAGATTGAGATATAATCATCTGAACTGAGAGTTGCAGCTAAGGATATGTGAAAGAAGTTGCTGATGAGATCAAAGTACCTGCTATTGTCAACGACAATGAGTTTCTAAAGAATCAAATTGAAACTAAAACCTTTTTTTTCCCATTTGCAATTCGCTCCATGAAAGCTCCACAATTGCAAGAACAGCAAAAGTGAAGTTCGGAAGGTAGAATATATTTTCGTTTTAAATGTTTCGATGTAGGTTTCGGAAGGCTGGAACAGCTGAGACAAGAACATGCTGTAGTGAGACGGCACAAAGCACAGTTGGAAGCAGACAAGGTATTCAGTTTTAAAATGGAAATCCAGAACGAAATACAGGTGGACCTGGATCCCGGTGTGTACGAAACCAAATGTCTCAGATGTAGCTTCACCTGCCACTTCCCCTGCACACTACCACAAGACAAAATGAGGGAATGTTGCAATTCAATGGGCGTCAATATGAAAACAGGTGCAGTGACGCATTGTCTTAATTGTCCCGGCAAATGTGCGCCCATGTGGCACGTCAACAACCCATATCGCTTCATCGTGGACATGAAAAAGGAGACAAAAAGCTCCGTTGAGTTAAAGGATAGGTATGAGCAGGCGAATGGTAGAAAGTTGAATGCTGAAGGCATGGTGAAGGAAATCATCAATAAATTCAACCGTGAGAGGGCTAATATATTGGAGCTACTCAGTGAAGCACATAAATGCTTACTGGATCTTGGCAAACGCTCTTCGAATTCGAAACCATTGGGCATCTCGGATTTCATATATTTATTGATCGTCACAGAGAGGAAAGAAGCGCAGCCTGGTCATGTCCAACGGATCAAGTACCTGGAAGACACATTGGGGAAGGCAGAGCAGGCTGAAAAGCTGAAGGAAAACTTTGATCCGTTCATGGAATACATAAAGGAGTTCGAGATAGAAGGATTCAATATCTCAATTTTCGACCCAGATTCTGATACTGATAATGACGACGATGCTACAGATGGAGGTGAATCTTCCAGGGAAAGTAGTACATCCAACAAAGACGAACTGCCAACGAGGCGTGAACGTCATCACCGAGAGAAGAGGTCATTCACGTTTTGGAAATAGCTGAACCTAAGAAAGTCCCACCTGGATGTTAGTGCATGAGTATGTTCGCTTACAGATTATTTTCGGTCTTTTTTTAGGACAAGGACTGACGGCATAGAGCTCAATAACATGTTTTCTCCATTTTAGGTCAACAGGAATGAAGCCTGAGTTTCTTGGAGTGAGGATGCAAGAAAAGAAGTAAAGTAAACCGCTTTTTCTCGCAGATTCTCTCCGGGGTGAACTTTGAAGACAGAATTTTAATATATATCGAGAAGTATTATTTCTGATGGAACAATAAAATAAATTTCCTACGCTGGGCATGGTAAAAAGAGGACTGTTTATTTTATGTACGAGTGTCATCCCTAAAGTTCGAGAACACGTTTCCATATTTTATTGGCATATGACCCAACAGCAACATTCTTATCACGGTGTTCATGTTGACGTCTCAAGGTGCTAACGTGGAAATGATGGTGTAATTTCTCTTTCCCATTGCAAAGATATCGCTTTTTTTAAGTAGCTTATATTTTACTACTATGGAAGAAAAAGTTCGGCGCCATCCTCTTAATCCTGTCTAAGGTTACACGTGTTGATGGAGCTATCGTGAAAAAGCCGTTGGCTTCTACCCCATTCTCCAGTGCAGGAATGCAATATAAGGAGTCAGGTTGTATTTTCAGTGTCGGCCAATGAGAGGTTAGTAATTTTGCATATAGGAACTAACTCTATTGCCAACTCTTACTCGGAACTCATCAGCCCTGCATCACTGCACCATTACAAGCCCTAATCAGCTGCAGAAGCGAAGCTTAGGCAGTTGATTTGACCAGTAGTGGTGCAATTCCGGTATTAAAGTACACAGGGTTCGTGTTTTCAAACCGATTAGATGAGGGTGGGAGTTCGTGGCTCAGGTCGAGGGAATCGATATGCGCGGTAGCGCCCATTACCGTTCTTCAACCCCTTACCGCGACAAAATTCAACCGTCTCGTATTCCACTCTGAGATAATAAACAAGAACTAAATTCGGCATACTTTTTCCTCTCTCAACACATAATTTATTTTGCAAATTTAAAGCTCCATCTCCCCATGGTTGCTATTAATGAATCTCGCTTTTGGGAGATGTGAATTTCGTTCTGGTATTTATTTTTCTTCCCCCTTGGGTTGCCGCTACTGGGAAGATTTGTAGAGAGAAAGAAAGAGACCAACCAAACAAAATATGTACAAACCTGTACACTGTAGGTGACAAAATATTTTTTTGCTTTCATTGCCCCATTTCGTCACGAAAAATGAAATTATATGCTGTTAATTTAGGCTTAGCAAAATGGCTCCAGTTCCGTCCTCCACTGTTGCCGGATATCGTCCCTTCGTTATCCCAAATTCATAGCATCTTCCACAGTTGTCTGGATCTTCTCTTTTTAATGTAGGAGACATGATTGTGCTGAATTCATGGGATTAGCTAAGATTGAAACGGTGTCCAATCAACAAGTTTACGTAATCAATATATCAATTTTTTTGCAAACAATGTAAATTTCTTGCAATTGCCATGAAAATGATAAACGTGAGTTTATGCAAAAATTTAAATACCTATATTTACGTCACCAAAGTGTACGTGTATTTTTCATAAACTAGACGTCACTTCATCTGACCTGAAGTACATAATATCAAGCTCATGCAAAATTAACTTAACACCATCCATATGAAACTAGCTGACCATCCCGCAGTTGCAATACCAAAATTCCTCACTAGGTGGAACCCTTGTTCCCTGCACCCTACAATTGCTATTAAATACTGCCTTTCCCGATAAAGAATTTGGCTTTCTCGCTATCCATCCCTTTTTATTATGCAATCCATGAAAAATATATGGAAAGTATGAAATTAATATATATTTTAAATAATACATAAATCAGGGAATCATTAATACTGAAGTTAAGCTTGTTATTACAGCAGTGCACGGGCATAGGGAAGAGTGGAATCCCAGCTCCTCAAGTATTACCCCTTCTGTATCCTACTGGATGAGAGCTCCTCTAAACATATTTTCCTTCTCCTGAGGTTCTCATGCATGAGAGGAAAGCAGTCGGTCATCTGGGTACTATAGGATGTTGGTGAGGATGAGTACTCGTGTACTTGTCCAAGTACACTAGTGTTCCAAAGTATGAAAAGGAATGGGAGAAATTCAGTGTATCAATTACCTTCAAAAGTACGAATTGGCTTGTTAAATACGCATGATTGTTGGGGGAGACTTAGCATCAATTTTTACGTAAAATGAATGTAAACATGCTGTTGGGGATATAAACAGGAATGTTAATTTCACGTAAAATGTATGTTAATTTGTTATCACCGTTTGCATATCTCAGAGGTGAAATTTCTCCAAACATCTTGACATTATATCGATGGTTTGTGTAAGAAAAATAAAATGGACAAAAAAGTTTACATTAACTTTACGTAAAACTAACATAAACATGCTGATTGGGTGGTTTGTAGTGGCAGATGAATTTCGTGGAATACGAGATATCTCATCAGGCATCCCTAAGTAAACATGATAGCGGCCAGTTCGTTCGAGTAATGTTATGCTTTCTAAAGGCACTTTCTTATCGGAACGAGTCAAGACGATTCGAGGAACTCTGCATGCGCCTAATTTTCCCCGACAGCACTGAAATGGCTCACGAAACCCGGAAAAGACATACATTCGGTCTAACGTTGCACGTTCGCTGTTTAATGTGCCATGAGAGACCGAATAGGTCTGCGATTGGCCTACACATTGCCAACAAGGTGTCTCGAACACGAGGGATTAATCCTTATAGACCTAATTGGTCCGTAGGCAAGGATTGAGTTCCTTTTGAACGAAGAAAGGTATGCCTGACCAGAAGGAAGTCCGTTGGTTAGGCCTGGGACTAAGGTTACTGAGTTCCGTAGAGAGAGTGGTGAGGTTGAGGTTGAGGTTGGGTTGAGGTTGAAGCAAGGTAAAAGCATTGATAATTGATTTTTACATTGCCACGTATACGATGTGTTCATGGGTTCAGTTCTTTTGCCAATCTGCCTCAACCCATATTGGCTGGGTATACCCTGTCTACTCTATTGCGACCACACAACCTAGTGCAGGACAGTCCTGCATGCAACCCTGTTCAAAGAAGGATGGCTACTCTCTTCCTAATCGTACCCCACAATGAAACCGGTGCCGATCGATGGAGCGCCCCAAGTGTTGCATATGTGTCAATGATGACACTGTGATCCGAGTTTACCCTGATCAGCCATAGGGCTAAGGAATAGCTTAGGTTAGGTTAGGATGAGATAATATTACGCTTCAAAACATGTTTATTTCTTCCGAGTAAATACTTTTAACAATTTTAAATGAATATGTATTACATCAAAACGAAATTCAAAATTTATATTCGAAGGAATAATGCGTCAAAGTCCGTTCAATCTATTTCAATATTTTTTCCATTCAAACTTTTTAAATCTCAATGCTTGACAATGTTGCATCTCAAAAGTCTTATTTTTCCAACCTTGGAAATAAATTTGATTTGGGGAAAATAACAGCAAATAAACGATTGAATGGATCATTTTCCATTTATTGGCCAGGTGAACTCATATTTTGGGTGAGGGCCATTACGCCCTAACTAAACGTTAAGAGGGAACGGGTTGTTATGACAATTATACCTAATTCCGCCATAATCAGGCGATAGGCCATGAACAAAAGTATGGTAATAAGCAGGCGCTTGTCTGTAAGCAGAGATTTTTTAATGAATAGGCGCTAGGTTAAATAAGGATAGAATATGGATATGACCATGAATCTATCACTATCAATAACAGCGATTGAACATGGATGGTTCACGGGACATCAAGCGCAGTTGACTTATGATGATGTCATTCTAAAGCTGTTAGGCATCCGATGTCAAGAGGTACTTTGTCACAAAATGGTCCGCCTTATATACCCCGAGGGTAGAAGCTTCGAGAACATTCCAGCATATACAAATGCAATGCCCATCATTCCCTTGAAAATTTTTATAAATAGTTTTAGAAAGTGTTGGAAGAATTTATTTCCAACCCAATACATCAGCAAACCAGTCTGCTGGGGTCACTTGAACTCACTGGTTCACAGGGAAAGCAACCTCCTGCAAATCCGAGCAGCGCTTTTCCGTAGAGGTTTATTTATGTCTAAATAAAATTACCAGTAGTCTCAGGGAGAGAGGTCCAGCGGAGTGGGTGGGGTGAGGCAGCAGTTCATAGCTCAGCTTCTTGATCGCAGTCAATGTTGCTAGGTCGGTGTGCGGTCGTGCGTTGTCTTGTTGCAGCAAAAATGTGCATGACCATGCATGACCACTTCAAAAATCAGTTTTACTGAACAGTTGATGCAATAATGACATTAATTGAAAGCTAGCATGTCACTTGACATTATCATTGAAAAAAGAGATATTTCTGCGTTTTGAAAATGCCTGAAAATGTGCTCTCCCTACATCTACCTTTGGCATCAGGTTCAGCACAAAATCGCCGGAACTCACTTTAAACTCTGGTGGGAATCACAAAGTCTTCCATTCAGGCTGCAACTTGCGTCAATTGTGAATCCTTTTCTCATGACGGTGAAAGCAAATTAAATGAAACAAAGTTATTTTTTTCTATGTCTCAAGTCTATCTGAAATCAGGTGAAGTTAGTTAGTTGGGAAATTTTGTAGAATATTTTTATTTATTTATTTACAAGGGTTACCGAAAAATGTCCGCAAAAAAGTATTCACATGTACATCTTCCTAATATGACTTTAAAGTTATTTCCGTTTGAGTTTGATTCCAAGTCATTTTGAAAAAATGTCAAGTACGTTTCTTCCGGAAGAGAGGGGAGAGAGAATCGGTATCCAAGATAAAGCCAGGAAAAAATTCATGAACTCGCAATAAAACGCCTGGATGAGAAAGAAAAGTAGTACAACTTAGGAAGAAAATATTTTGCTTCATAGGCTCCAAGATGATCTGAGGCTTAAAATAGCAGACTTCTTAAAAAAGAATTGGAGTTCAAAGTTCAAGTGGACCTGGAGTCGTGCTACAGAATCGGGAAAAAGCAGGAAGATAAAAGAAGAGCAGTACTGATGGAAGTAATGAATCCTCAAGATAAAACGCAAATCCTCGGAGAAGGCAAGAATCTCAGAGAGAAGAACCTGGGTGTGTAGATGACACAAGATTTCCCCTTTAGAATCCGGGAAAGGCGAAGAAAGTTGATTCCGATCCTCCTCGCAGCGCAGAAAGAAGGAAGACAGTTGAAGCTATTGGAAGACCGACTTTATATCGATGGGACCTTGTATCGTAGTGGAAAGAAATCCGAAGGTGACGATGAAGGAGGAAAATTGGAAGACAGCGTAAAAGGTGATGAGCCCATGAGGAGGCAAGACAAGATGAAGGAAACGAGGACGGCATTTAAGTTGGTCGACAAGCGAGTGACGAGGCAAGCAACGAAATTATTGAAAGACGGTGGGTTGAAAACGTATTTATTCCCTATGCCTCGTAAGAACCCCAGAACCAATGAAGTGGTCACCGGCTGCGCTAACCAGAGAGAAGATACAGTAGACAGGAGGAGGATTCAGGAGAGGAATTAGGAGTAAGTGCGATAACTCCCAAATCGGAAGAGGACGGCTCAGACATAGAGGAGGGATCGCTTATGAAATACTAGGATGAAAAAGGCCCATGTTACCTGGAAATAGGAATATGGAACATTGGTGGCTTAAGTATGAAGCTTGATGGGACGTTATTGCAATTGCTACAATCATTTCATGTGTTCGCATTTGTTGAAACATGGGCCCATGATCGCATCGATCTCAATATTCCTGGTTATACCCACTTCCAGAAATATCAGAAAAAGACATTGATGTATGGACGCAACCCAGGAAGAATTTTAGTTCACGTTAGTAACTCCTAGGAAATACAAATGAATGAAATCCTCAATGATCTGAAGAAAGTCCTGCGGATCAAACTCAACTTTGGAAGCACCCCCCTGATCTTAGGCGCTATGTAACAACATACCTGTAATCCTCTTTTCTTGGACGAACGAATATTCGTACTACCTCTTCCTAGCCAGTGACGTGGTAGAAAGGATGCCCTTATTCGAGAAGTAAGCAAAGCCACTGACTAAGGGGACATGTACACAGCAAAGCAGAAACGTACAGTCAGGTACACATTTTGTACGTTATAAGGTACAAACGTATGTCGTAAAATACGTTCGATGAAAAGGTACAGTAGGTACACATGTGTACCTTTCTTATCTCTATTCACATCGGGCTTAAGGGGGTTCAAAAATCGGTTCATGAACCTCAATTGTCGGCTTCGAAGGGAGCTTTAACGGCCCGTTATCCGGCACCATTTCTACGACAGGCAGCGACCTCTCACTGATAACAAGCTGACAACGTCTCCATTTCGCAAAGGGCGAATGTTCATGAGACAGCCGGGACGGCTGTCTCATGAACAGAGTCTCTTCCTGTTATCACGGGGACAGTACATAACTAAACCACCCTGTTATGGAAGGACAATCTTTCAAGTTTATTGAAAGTTGGCCGCCCATTTCTCGGAGAGAAAAAACTAATGACCTGTTGGTTCACACTTCTGTTCCCGTACAAAACCCCAGCATTTAAAATTTTCCAGAATCATTGATTGCCATTGACACATGATATTTATACTCTGACTAAATACTCCTTTACAAGTATTACGATAAAATCAATACAGGGAAAGAAAGAAAACTCTTCTCCTAAGGTCTGGTGAGTCCTGACTCGAGTTCGAAAGTTTGAGGTAACATAAACGCCATCTTATACCTACTTTGAGTACTGCACTGAGAACCACGGACATCTGCGTCAGCAACGTACATACGTGTGCGTCTGGACCACACATGCAGACCCGAGGGACACAATATGTACCTCTCACATTTGTACCTCTCCTTATACCTTTCTACTTTGCTGTGTAGAAAGGTTTTTCTAGATGTTCTTAGAGGCAGAGTGAGCAGTCTTAATTGTAACCCCGTCCTGGATTCAGTTTCCTCACTTGCGTGGCCCACCTGCCTAGCGCCTCTGCCATGACCGTCTCCATGTTTCCACACTTGTGAGTATCTTTCAATTTTTGTTCATTACGCCCCTTCCTCGCGAGTTTCTCACATTTCCATGTAAAACAATATTTAAAAACCCGCATGGGCTTTGACAGGAAAATCACCCAGTCCCAATCATTCAAATTAAAATGCAAGACCCTCAATTCAGTTCCCAACAACAAAAACCCCACTACGTTACAGCCACATATTATTAACAAACTCGCTAAGGTCGCGCCTTCGGCGCTCCATTACCTTGGATAGTGATTAATTCATTTATTCTTTGCGGAATGGCAAACACGTAATTAAGGTATGTCCCCATTGAAATACGTGACATATGGTGACAAAAGTCTTGATTTTTTTCAAAATCGTTACTTCTATTATTTCTACTATGCTTAACTTCACATTGTTGAAGAAAAAGAAACAAGCTCTACGTAGATTTTGTTGATTTCGCCAAAGCCTTTGACTCGGTTGAGAGGCACCTTATATACGGATAAACTTCAAGCGTATGGTGTATCAATGAAGTTCATGATGATCCTGCTTTCGATGTACGAGGGCCACTCAATAAGTTATCTACCTGAATATGAAAGGGATGAGCAACAGGCCTGTGCCTGCTGTGACATGTCTCGACAGGTCTCGTGAGTGCTCCACCACTATACCAGCTCAGTGGCTCAATTCCGTTCAAAGTGGTAGCGCGATAGATTTCTTTTCCTGAGTCTGTGTCATGGATTTGACGAAAGTTGAACATCGTTCAGTGATGAAATTCCTCACCAAAGAAGGGAAAGCACCTAAGGAGATTCATGAACGTATGTCTAACGTTTATGGTGTGTCTTCGCCTTCTTATTACCAAGTTAAGTTTTGGAGCAAGCAGTTTAAGTGGGGAAGAGAGTCACTTGAAGATGACCCAAGGTCGGGGCGCCCTGTGGAGGCTTCTGATCAGGAAATGTGTGACAAATTGGAGAGTGCGATACTGGAGGATCGTCGCACCAAAGTCTCTGTTTTAGCTCATGAACTGGGGATTTCAGAGGGCACAGTGATTCACATTATTCATGAAAAATTACACATGCCCAAAGTCAGTTCTCGATGGGTCCCAAGAATGCTGACTCCAGCTCAGAAGAACAGATCTGACATCAGCAAGGAAAACTTGGAGTTTTCTAAACAAATCGGGGAAACTTTTTTCCCCAGAATAGTAACTGGTGATGAAACTTGGGTTCATCAATGGGGTCCCGAAACCAAGCAGGCGTCCATGCAATGGAAGCACAAGGGATCGCCAACGCCTCGCAAATTTCGTGTTCAGAAATCTGCAGGAAAGCTTATGGCCACTGTGTTTTGGGACAGCGAGGGACTACTGCTGCTTGAGTTCATGCCAGACAAGTGTAGAATCACTGGCGATTCCTATGCTACCACCATGAAAAATTTACACGATGCCATCAAGGAAAAACGCAGAGGAAAATTGTCAATGGGGGTCCCTTCTTCTCCATGACAACGTGCCCGTCCTCNCAGGTGTAGGATGAGTTCGGGAGGCATATCCTTCAGTGCTCTTATTCAGGTAGATAACTTATTGAGTGACCCTCGTACGTCGAATCTACAAGCAGTGTTCGGGTCACAAAGTGGTCGTGTTCTGAGGAGTTTCCTTCCACTATAGGAGTGAAACAAGGATGTCAAATGTCCCCTCTCCTATTACCCCTATTTGGGAATGACCTCCCAGACGCATTGATGGCAGAAGAAACACCCTTCGCACCTCCATGAACGACCCGTCCCTTGCTTGATGTATGCTGATGATCTGGCAATTATGGCTGAATCTCCTATAATACTGGAAAGAGCACTGGACGTACTTCGCCGCTATTGCCAATCCTGGAAGCTAAAAGTTAATGTTAAAAAAACGAAGATCATTGTATTCGGCAAAAGACAAAGAAGACAAAGGAAGGAAAACTGGAGGTACGATGGTAAAGAAGTTAAGGTTCAGCCAACTTCAACTATTTGGGTATTATGTTCGCACAAACTGGTGGCTGGAATGAGGCACTGAACCAAAGACTATTGCTGGAGAGAATAGCGATTTTCAGAGCCCAACCTGTAATAAGAGCACTGAAGGATATGCCTCCCGAACTCATCCTACACCTGTTTGAGGTATGTATGCTTTCAGTGCAGATATATGGTTCTGAGCTCTGGGGGCAAATTCTCTACGGGCCTGGTCGACCAAAGATAGATGGAGATGATCCAATCACAAGATTTCACGTGGCTGTTGGGTCTGCCACGCAATGCACCGGAAGCGATAATACTTCATGAGCTGGGGAGTACAATAAAACATCGTGAGGTATTGGATCCGAATCAAAACCTCAGACGGTTGGTTAAACGATGTCTGGACCTTCAGTACTCATGGGGACAGATGGGCAGAGGAGCTACGTGAAGTATGATGATCAGAAATATCTTACCAAAGACAGGTTTCATTTATGTATGGAAAGACGGACCAGGAGCAAAATGGTTCTTCCGTGCCCACAGGTAACGAACAAGAGACTTGGATGCCCAAATCCAACTCTCCAAATATTGAACCATGACATCATTGGAATCTATTTCCAAATGGAGCAGGGTTTGCCGCAAACGGACTATATTCTAGGTGCCCTTAAAAGTTCATCAGGATGCAGTTAGCTTATTTAAGATCTGGAAGCTGGAAATGGAAAACCCTCCAGAGATTAGGCGGAAACTCTCAATACATTGCCTTTTCTGTGAGAAAAAAAGAGACTGAAGTGCACTTGATCTTCTTGTACATGAGCTACCAAGATGCACGACTGAAATACCTACCCCAAACTTGAGGAAAGCAACAAAGAATATAAATAGAAATGAAGAGGACTCCATGGATCTCCTCATACTGCCCTTCCAGAAGAGCTACTATTGGAATGATTTTGCCGGCTCATCGCCTATATTTTTCAACTTAGGGATAGCGCTCTGGCAGTGAAAACCTGATGTTTTAATGTTCATGGCTATGTAAAGGAGACTAAATAAATAAATTACTTACTTACGTTTCTCCCATCAATACCAAAACAGGGACCTGCATGTTGCAGTTTGAAAATAAACAGTAGTGTTAATCGGACACCCTGCATAACTACCAGTTAAGCATAACAATTCACTAAGGACGCTCCTTTGGCGCTCCATGATCATAGGAAATTACTATGGCATTTAGAGAATCATTTTTCGAAGCTAACCCCCAACCATGCGGCCAAACTCTTTGGTTATAAGCATTGGCAATTCTCGGACCTTCGGCGCTCTTACTATAAATATAAAGTTCCATTAGAAAATATTGATATTGTCGTCATATGACTCTTAACTCTACAATTCCTGATTTTTTAAAACGTACTAAAACATGTTTAAGATCATATTCGTTGAAGTTTCTGAGAAAAATAAGGAATAAATTATCCTTTCCTGTAAAAAAAAATGGAGTTCCTAAAGGAGGGCCTGTACGTTGTATCTAATAAACAGGGTGTCCAATAAATAATCATATAAATTCGATTTTAATGACTAATATCATTCGGACATCACCCATTGGATTTTTTCCTATGGGGGTACGTCAAAGTAAGAGTTTACGCATATAAGGTAGAACACCTTGATGTATGACACCGAATTCGAGTCGCTCTGGGTAGCATCACATCAGAAATGCTAGAACTAAGTGGGAGGAACTGAGTCATCTCTTAGACATTTTACGTGCTATACAAGGGGCATATTTTGAAGTGATCTGATGAAACGTCGACAGAAAAAATAGATGATGTGATTTTAATTTTGCAGTAAGTTTCATCTTTCCATCTTCTGTAGCAATAAAGTTATTAAGGATTGAACTTGTGAGATTATTTTATGGACACCCAGTGCATAGACGATTGGGACTGAGTGAGTGACACAATAATGCTAACCATGTTCTAGATTAGTTTGTCATCTGAAACTTAGTACACAAAAACAATATGGGATTGGGAGAAAAATCAGACTGGAGTGACATACCCTGGGGTCATGCATTTTGCAGGGAGCTGTTTTCAAAAATTCATTTTTGCTACAAGCAAGCAGAGAGACATGGAAAGCTGAAACTTCGCATGAACGTGCCTACTGCGACACTGAAGTCAGGAAAAGTGTCAAGTTTCAGATGCATGCCATGAAGGCACATTGTTTTGGGGGAGTCCTTTTCAAATATATTTTTTCCTAGCCAATTGGGAAGAAATAGGGAAGTGAAACATGGGAAAGGTATAACAGACGTGATGGGTTCAGGGAAAATTGAGATTTTGTGGTGCATTTTCTTAGGACATTGCTTTTGGGCGGGTATGCTATTCCGAACATATTTTCACCAGCGAAAAGGGCAAATGCATAATGTTGAAACCTGGTGGGCATATATCTATAGTTCTCCGAGTACAGATTTCAGTAATAAAAAATTTTACTTTTTAGGTAAAACCCTCAGGGCACCATTTTTCCAACCCGCATATTTTCCCAAATATTTAATGATCCGAGGAAGCAGAGAGGGATAGGAAGTTGAAACTGGGCACAGAAGTACCTGATGGATAGCTGAGTTAATTTTAAAATATCTTCATTTGAAATATGTTCCTTCAGGACGGACCATGGAATGGTAGTATATCAATATTTATTTCCGCACTGACAAAAAAAGTGCAAACAATGAGATTTGAAGTTAGGCACTCAAGAAACCATCGGGGTATTTACTTATATTAGTATAAAGTGAATTCATAACCTAAAGGGTACGAAAAAGTTTGATGACTGTTGGAATACTATTTATTGTAAGCATAATATTAGTAACAGGGAAAAAAAATAAAATCGGGCATAAAACAATAAACATGAATGAAGTGGTTAAGAAGGAGACAAACAAAACTGCGTTCACAGGAATTTAAAATTTTCGAAAATAAAATTTGTATACATTTCAGTATCTGCCACCTAACTTTTGCCGTACCTTGTAATCGCTATGCTACAAAACGAAGCGCCGATGACGTGACGATAGGGAGTTTCTTTGCCTGAATGACAAAAAAAACTCGCTAGTGCACATATGTATGTTGCACATTCAAACAGTGGGATCAATGACGAAATATTTATTGCAAGCCTTTGTCCTGTGTATCATACGTGTATAACAACATGCACACGTTTTATTCGTTTCGTCCAGTGTTGTGTTTACAGTATCTAGTATGTGGTACAGTTTATTTTGGCAATTGATTATAGATATATTGCAATTATACAAAGTTATACTGTAAGGGTTCTTTCCAAAGTATTACAGCTAAAACATCTTTCCCACCTAACTTCCTAACTTCCATTGAACTTCTTCATCCTCACTGGTCTTGTATTGCACTCCCTTCGGCTATTTTGTAATCAATGCACTGTAGAACTACATTCAAATGAAACGAATATCAGGATTTTATCTTGATTGTTGAGTGCCTTTCTTGACCTGAACTTCAAAGATAACACCCCACAGGTGATGAAAATTAGTAAGCGACATCCGCGATGCTATCGATCATAATAGATTGGAGTAAGAAGACACTCATCCAGAGCTCTTTTGGCCTAGGTTCTCTTTGTCGAAGCACAGTTCACATAAATGAAATGGGTCAAGCGTCCATTGTGCCCTACTGGGATTGAAAAAATATTATTTTCCTCGAGCACTACATGCAACTTTCTCTTTCTATTTGCTGTGTATCCCTGATCATTGTCCGATCATCAATCGAATGTATCCCCAGAACTTGACCGTCCTGAAAACTTCACCAGTCGAATGAAAAACATTAATGACAATTTCCACAGTTGGGATGACATGGCCTGCCGTGCATGAAATCACATCGACAGCCTCCGCTCGTGTCTCCTCGTCCCTGTAGACAATCAGATGACATGTGGAGTTTAAATGAAGCAAAGTCATTTTCGACTTGTCATGGAACTCACCCGAGGTCCCCATCTGGCTCCTTTAGTAGCCCAGCAAATGTCAATGCGACATTGTCCGCATTGCAATCCATCACAACCCCCATTCTTCATGATAATCACATCACACTTGGGACACTTCATAGCCTCTCCTTTCTCGAGCATTTCCTGTTGTCATGATCAGCGATGATTGCTCTTTGAGAGAAATCAAGTGCCACAAAAGAATGAAGCTGATGAAGCAGTCATGATCACCTTCAGCTGGTTCAAACTCTGCTTGAGCTCATCATTTTTCTCTGCTTCCCGGGTGAGATAGTCTTGATATTCTTTACAGGTCTTTCCTTCATGAATAACCTGTCATGTGGTATATTTAATTATAATGTTAGCGAAATCTTCATTACACGAAAACCGATGGTGCGTGTTAAAGCAAACGTTACTCACCCGACAGTTTATGCAATTCACACTCTTACAGCAAGGGCATGGGAATCGGTTGATTCCTGGTTCATAGAAGCACCAGCCAGGACAATCCTCTTTGCGACAGTGAAAGGTGTTGCCAGCTGACCCTTCTATATATCGCAGTGATCTGTCTAGGTGGCGTTCATAGTCATTCTTGTTTAGTAACTAAGAAAAAATGAAAAATAAATTATTATTGTTTTGAAGTAAATGAATCTGTACAAAATACAATCATTGTTACCGCTCGAATTTCCCTCTGTTGAAGGTGGACAGAACATGGACCAGAATCGTCGGCATGAGGACAAGTGACTTCAGGGGTTTCGGTGCTGTTGATTGTGCCCTGTAAGCAATTCCTTCATAGGGAACGTCCATAAATCAATTATCATAATACATGGATGCCCCATACCCCAATTACAGTATAAAAAGAATCGGGTGATTCTCTGAACGAGTATAAGAAAACTTACTTGCAAAAGTTGTGCCGACATTCCTTAAGGCACACACCTTCTCCCTCGGGGATGTTGTCCATGCAGATCAGGCAGTCGAAGGCTTCTAAATTCTTCATGAGGTCATCAGTCATCATCTGTTGCATCTTCTCTTCTCTTGCTCGCATCTTTTTCCATTCTTCCATGAGAGTTTTTCGATGTTGTTCCCTTGCCACAAGGCCCTCCCTTGTCTTCTTTTGTTCCTCTAACATCTGCATTCTTTGCTCTGCCCATCGTTTCTTCCGATTCTCTTCCCTCTTCTTGTCTTCTTCATTGTCACTCTCTTCAGTATCATTTGATGTGCTTGAAGAGGCGTCGTTTTCTTCCGACATGGATGCTCTTCGGGTGCTGAGTCGACTGCTACTGCTACTGCTGCTGCTGCTGCTGCTGCTGCTACTTTCACTGCCACTGCTGCATTTCTCACTTCCGCTATCCGAGTCACTCTCCCTCTTGGTTTTCTTCGACAGAACTTTGCTCTTGGAATGGGACAGAAACGCTGAAGTAATGCTACTATGGATATATATTGTTTTGCTTAATATAAAAATGTTTGAGGCCATTCTAGTCACAGTTACATGCCTATGATTAGTTGCCTGTTAATCGTTGTGCATGGCTTCACAAACAGTATACCGCACATCCAGCATGGTTCATTTGATAGCAAAACTCAGCTCTCAAAAGAAGCTCCTGTTATCAATTACGATGGGGCGGCTATAGTAGGAATTTATTGGAGATAGGTTGAAGGTCACCCCTAAGCTGCATCGCTTGTGAAAAACTCTGAAGTTCATGTTAACGTAGGGGTGTTTCATATTTAGAGTTACTTTTTGCCTTGAAAAACCTGTTACGGTTATGAAATAGGGTTCAACGTATTTTTTATGATGTAACAAAAGGGTCAAGATGTCCGCGCTAAATGAAAATACATAATACTATATGAGGAGAAATGCAATCTAGAATCTTCGCTCGCCCCAATGAAAACTTGAAAACCTCTGCATACTAATGATCAATAACAGAAATACCCTGGAAATTGACGGCAGGGATTTCGATCCGACTGAAAAGGTTGATTTTCCTTTGGAAATCATTGGATGAGCAATAGTGTTTTGTAATTGTCTGAAATAGCACTGGGTGTTGGAAATATCGGCAGTTGCGACAGCTTTGGGATGTACCGAATTGTAGATTCTTAACATGAACATAAGGGAGTCCCTTAGAATGTTTAAGATTTGCTAAAACGTGAATGGAAAATGAATTGAACGTGAATGAACGTGAATGAAATGGCGATTAAAATAGTTTCAACATTGTTCTTTTCCAATCATTGTGAAGAGGTTTCACCTTGATTCAAGCAACACTCCATTATCTGGGATTTTCTTAACGATAGGAGCGCTGGAATTCTCCCAGTAAGGAACATGAGGCGTAGCAGGGAGCACTTCTCCCTGGTTCTTTATGAGCAGATAAATGCTTTAAATTTAGCAATGTATTTTGCACGAATGCATTACATTTTGGAACCGAGCATATTCCATAGCCATAGTTTCATGCTGCTTTGCCAAGTTCATGAGGGTGAAGAATTATCATTGAAAATGACTCCCACAGTGGAAGAATTGCAATTACTTTCAATGGAGAAAACATACAGAAAGTGGAAGCTATGATTCAAGGAAACCAAATATGCATATAGCATGCTATAGAGTTGTACCTGAACATGGATAGCAAATGGAGTGGAAATCCAACAAAGATTTATTCAAATTAGGGAAATATTTTGCTTTTGGTCTGGGAAAACTTGTTAGATGTGCAGAAAATGACCCAAGACAAATGTTGCTAAATCAAAATGCTCCAAACTTTTTAAGAAAAATTCCTTAGGAAGGCAAGGACGTTTTGACATTGACACTGGCAAAGAGTTATCGCTTTACTATGTCTCAGTAAACAAGATGGGCAAACCCAATCCAATAGTGTGCCTCCTTTCATTTAAGGAAACCAGCGTTTTGCCACTTAATTGAATGAAATCGTATCTCTTTCTGGTACTTGGCTATCAAAAACATACTCGTAATTAAAAAAATTCGACCCATGGTGTCCATGAAATGATGATGATGGGAAGTTGTGTATGCTTGGAACCATCTGCCACAAGGGTTGGTAGGGAACGGACAGCGCTGGTTGCTGACACGGGACCGCGCCCAAGGCCTGGGTCGTATGCCCATGGGCATTGCGATCCAGATCCTAAAGGGCTTTCGGGTACTCATGCTTTTCACTTCGTGACAAAATTTGTAAACCTAAAATTTACTATTAAAGGCCAATATAGATGCGAATCCGCTACAGTACGAACTCAGCCTGCAGCCTATGGACCTAATTGTCAATTTTCGCATTGGTCAGGCCAATATTATCTTAGCTATCGTCAGAGAACTAAAGTGGGACACAGACTCATGGACGGAGAGGATGAGAAGTGGTCTCTTTCCTTTCAGGAAAGGAGGTCCACTCACATGAGGTAACTTGCTGTTTGAATATTCAATGGGGACGACACGTCCACCAAGGTGAAGAAAGGAAGAAATGCTGAGGGATACAATGCTGATTTTTCCAACGTTTTCAAAGAAAAAACCTGGGAAAAATCACAATCTTGGCTGCTGAGCCTCTTCGTGCTGATTCATTCAGCCTGACGTCAGGACCGACTAAGGTCTACCTGGAAGAAACTCTTGTTCGCCTGGCCACCCATCCACCAATCCACCCTAGAGTCCTAATTTACATATTTGCGATGACTTTTGGTTACAAGAGTAAATATTCAAATCCAGGAAAGCGGTTACTAAGTCCAGAAGCGCCGATTTTGCCTGATTTGCCTGTTTGCCTGTGAGCAAACAGTTTCTGAGGGGCTAAAAGAGGAATGACGTGGAAGCTTCGAGATCAGGTTTAAAATGATGACGTGTGGAGTGCTTCGGTGAACATTTCGAAAAGTTATAAATGTCGAGACAAATTTCCATCAAATTGCCTCTGCACATCTCAAAACCTCTTAAGTGACTCTGTCCCTGGACATCATGTGAGGTGTAAATCAAAAGACAATAACATATTCTGCATATGATGGAAGATATGATATTTTCTCTTGCTTTGTTGAAAAAATCAAGTACACTTCCTCTGGCAACATTTCATATGAAAAAATGAGCCGCTTTTTAAACAAAACTGGACCAATTTAATAATTTGGAGCATCCAACTGAGAGTTGCGCCAAAATGTGACCCCATTCTCTATTAAACAAAGCCAAATACAGCATCTAGTTTGATGGAAAATAATAATATCATGCAAGTTAAAATGGTGGTATTTTCGTGGAATCTCTGGATTTTCCGTTTTTTCCAGCAGAACGTTTACTGGGAGATTGCCAGTGTGTCAATATGATTACAGCATCATAAGAAAGGAAAGCACGAAATCATATTCCTCATTAGCGCTATTATGATCCTATTTGGTCTCAATTTCGGTTATTGATGAGGTGATAGGGGGGTGCCATTAATTGAAACATTCATAACGTTATTTCAGAAATAAGGAAATATAGTGCAAGGATATTCCAGGCATTTCATTTGTAGACTGGTGCAATATCATGAAGTCAATATGATATGCATATGCACCAAATATATATTTCAGGAAAATTCATTTTGAAAAGTCATGTGGCGTTCATATATAAAAAATGAATTAATAGGACCATTTAATCGTTGGAAGAATCATGAATGCTTCAAGTTTACCAGATGCTCCATGAGGGATTTTTTTCTTTTAAAGATCTCATGGAGGACAAATCAAGACTTAGCGCTTGGACTTTTCCTGAAATTATGATAGAGCGTGACATGAAGTTAATTCACCTAACTGCAAATTCGAATCGTCTCATTCCGTGAAAAACTCTAACATCTCCAACATGATTAACTTTAGAACCTCATTTCTTTCTCCTCAGTCTTAATCCAGTATATCAGGCAGCTTACAGTTTCATATGTAGGGTGTGAATTTGGATGAATTACTTGTATTCTGGAGGCACCTATAACTCCTTACCCCTTTCAGGACGACTTTCTCCCGAAAAAAATTATTGGTTGCTTCTGCAAAATCCTGCATTGTCATTGGTGCTCTCGAGCTTTCACGAGCAAACTATGGGGGGAATGAATTCGTTATATTATCAATGACGAAATTTCCTACTCTTGTTCCCCAGACTTGGAAAATCTTCAGACATTTTCCTCCTTCTCTACTTAAGAGTTTCACAATAGAACTGAAATCGAACTAATTTATTCCATCCAATTCATTCTTTTCACATTATAGGAACCCAAGTCGCCACAGGTGACCCAAAACTCGTCTATGGACAGTTCAGTTGTCCACAGATGCATATACGTCCAGATGCTATCTTCCTTTCAATGTACTGTACGAGTACAAAGTAATGTCACCCATAATAGAAAATGAAAATAGAATATCCGCATCATTGACAATAACATACTTTAATTACTACTATCCGTTTTTCAATGGTGCTATTACTGGTGTCTGCCATCTTTCATTGCTATGGTTACACTTGTTAATCTTAAATGAGAACAAAAAAAGTTATGTTGGGGGTCTTTTGCATGCACCCTGTACATTGCATGTCATCGCCATAGTTCCCCTTGTAGAAATAACATTGAATCAATGTTGTTTAACGCTATGTATTTTATGTCTGATTCCTTCTAATCCATTCTGAACTTAATCCGGGCAGAATTTCCTTACATGGAATGCTTAATTATTTCCATTTATTGAATGACAGTTTTTGAGGAATGGCGTAATAGTCATCCGATCATGGAATTTCTGGAATTCCTTTTGTTTTTCTTCAAATCATAGGTCGAAACCCAGTAACCTCAAGTATTATTTGGATAGTGTGACATATTGAATAATTGGACCATTGCATGATTCCTTTCGGAATCCGACATTAAAAGAGTCCGTCTTAGGGTATCCCTTGGACGTTCAGCAAAGGAACTTCAAAGGACAACATCTCACGGTCTACCATTGGATGGCTTTGGATGGACACGCAGGCAAGTTGAGGCCTTCCATCTTGTCTCACATTTTGCAATTCATTTTTTAAATTTAAAGTTTACACAAGATAAGAGAGATCGCGCTCATCCCCCCGTTGTATATCTCCCAATTCCCAAACGCTAAGGAATGGTTCGGTGGAGTTCATCCTCAACTGGATCATTTTCCACTTAAAAATCAAAGGAAGTCTTTATAATACATTTGCTCAGAGACTTAACCCAGCTCAAGGAGTCTAGTCAATTCTTGCTCAATTCATGAAGAGAGTGGGGTCCCCATTGTGAAGTGAGTCTAGGAGCTTCTGCTAGCATCTAAATGCTGTCGTCCAAGGCGATGTTGAGTAGGGTAGAGGCACCGGTTTGTGGATGGGCGCCTATTTCCGG